TTTTTCCTTTTCTTTTTAGTGCTACAATTACCACCATCCTGACTTTGATAGTGAAATTTAATCCATCCATCCTGATTAAATCCATCCATCCTTTAATCCATCCATTCTGTTTTCCATCCCTACTTCGATAGTGAAATTTAAAGTACAGTCAGATAATTATTTCGATTTTAAGTCTAAATTTCTAATAAAGTGGACCCGGTATCTTTCCTACGCAAAAGACTAAAGATTAGGCTAGAGAAAAATAGTGACTATAGAAGTGATGCAGGTATTTCATGCCTGACATTTCAAAATAATCAAGTAATATCAATTCCTTATTTCACGTAAGAATATTCTTGGTGATAATACTGGGTGCCCCCAAAAAACGATATTCAACTTTGAATGGCTGTAACTCGAAAAGTAATAGAGCTAAAATATTTGAAAGGTCAAGATTTGTTCCCTAGGTTTTTCTCCATCTCTCCACCAAAAATCAGACAGATCGATGTAGCCATAAGCGTTTGATAGAACTTTCAGTGACGTGTGCTAAAATCGTGCTTGCGCAAAATTTTAGTAAGATCATTTCGCATAATCATTACTCTGTCTTGACATGTTTTCTTTTCGCTGTTTTATTTTTTGTATCTTTTATGAGACAAGAGCATGGCAATCTTTGGTGAGAGACAATCATGACAATCTTTGGTGAGAGACAATCATGACAATCTTTGGTGAGACACAATCATGGCAATCTTTCCATAACCCAATGCCGAAAACTCGTAGAAATAAAACCTGATTATGGAATTAGCAAATTTTTCGTTTCTTACTGTGATTTCTTTTCTCCTTCATCTTTCTGGCCACTTTTGTTTTTTCCTTTTCTTTTTAGTGCTACAATTACCACCATCCTGACTTCGATAGTGAAATTTAATGTACAGTCAGATTATTATTTCGATTTTAAGTCTAAATTTCTAATAAAGTGGACCCGGTATCTTTCCTGCGCGAAAGACTAAAGATTAGGCTAGAGAAAAATAGTGACTATAGAAGTGATGTAGGTATTTCATGCCTGACATTTCAAAATAATCAAGTAATATCAATTCCTTATTTCACGTAAGAATCTTCTTGGTGATAATACCGGGTGACCCACAAAAAAAGACATTCAACTTTGACTGGCTGTAACTCGAAAAGTAATAGAGTTAAAATATTTGAAAGGTCAGGATTTGTTCCCTATGTTTTTCTCCATCTCTCCACCAAAAATCAGACAGATCGATGTAGCCATAAGCGTTTGATTGAACTTTCAGTGACGTGTGCTAAAATCGTGCTTGCGCAAAGTTTTAGTAAGATCATTTTGCATAATCATTACGTTGTCCTGACATGTTTTCTTTTCGCTGTTTTATTTTTTGTATCTTTTGTGAGACAAAGCATGGCAATCTTTGGTGAGAGACAATCATGACAATCTTTGGTGAGAGACAATCATGACAATCTTTGGTGAGACACAATCATGGCAATCTTCGGAGAGACAAAAACATGGCAATCTTTGGTGAGAGACAATCACAGCAAATTTTTGGTGAGAGGCAATTTTTGGGTTCGAAATTCTCTCTCACCAAAGATTGCCATGATTGTCTCTCACCAAAGATTACCATGATTGTCTCTCACCAAAGATTGTCATGATTGCCTCTAACCAAAGATTCTCATGTTTTTTTCTCACCAAAGATACAAAAAATAAAACAGCGAAAAGAAAACATGTCATGACATCGTAATGATTATACAAAATGATCTTACTAAAACTTTGCGCAAGCACGATTTTAGCACATATCACTGAAAGTTAAATCAAACGCTTATGGCTACATCGATCTGTCTGATTTTTGGTGGAGAGATGCAGAAAAACATAGGGAACAAATCCTGACCTATCAATTTTTTGAACTCTATTACTGTTTGAGTTACAGCCATTCAAAGTTGAATATCGTTTATTTGGACACACTGTATATCGAATCAAATCAATCAAACCGCAGTCAAAATCGGTGTAATGTTCACATTACGAAACTTCCATACTTATTAAGCATTTTCCCGTAGCCTTTAATCTGAGCTGAACCATCGTTCGTTATGGATAAATGAAATTTCTTTCAGCAGCTGTTTACCCGAATATAGCAACATGTTCAAATAATATTTTTGATGGAACCATCTAATCATCACGGTGGTAGCATTAACTCCTCCCATTTGATGAAATTAATATGTGTAATACTTCAATTAAATGTTTTAAAATTTTTCGACTGCCATGTACTCTCCGATGGCACAACGGTAGGGCTTGGCTTCGCGTGGGGTACAGCGGAGTTCGAATCCTGCAGGCAGGGACTTTCTTCAAGTCGATTTCTCACGAGGTATGTGTATGGTACTCTGATAATTTGTTCCTGCTACATGTCTCACATTGTTACTTGTACTGCCATTTTAGATTTGCATACGTAGCTTTTAGAATGGTGATTGAGTGAAGCAATATCAGTAAATGCACAAGCATCGTTATCCCCTCTGATGTGTAGCTTTCAGGTTTGTGAGCTAAAATAACAAGCAGACATGGATAGATCATCGGTGTACATTTATTTTAGAATTTATACCCACGATCTAGTCTCAACATTCGTCCAGGAATGAAATGAGATAATTCATTTGTGTAATTATTTATATTACTGAGTATTTGCGGCGCTACCAATTTTCTTGATTGACAATTATCATTTAGAAAAAAAAGCTCATGAGTAATTAAGGAAAAGATTTTATTTTAAAATCATTTAATGGTGAATCTATATCTCACTCTAAATGAGGGTTTAACTTAACGGCCAATATATGAAGTTAGATAAATGTTTATTTTAGTAGAAGAACTTGATGAGGCACTTCAAAAGCCATCACTAGCTAACAGAGCAGTAAAGGGAAACTAATAATGAAATAAATAAGGACCATTAGCTGAGGAAGCCGCAACGGTGGTAGTTCTGTAGTAAAATAGTCTAGGTATTTAATTGTATCCCATGGGGTCACAGCTTGACATAGAGACGAGTAGTGGGGATGGCATCTGGTTACAGCTGTGTGGTGACGTCATCCTTTAAACAGACTTGATAGTAACCCTGGAAAACGGCGAAAGGATGGCATGACCCAACTGGTTGCAGGACGACCGCTTTGGATATAATTTAGTTAGAAAATTGTGATTAATTACTGAAAGCAAATGCAATGGAAGAACTGAATCAATATGCCAAGTTTAGCTTCTTGTTGAGCGCGTTGCATGATAATCAAGTACATACAGTCTAGAAAATAAGTATTTAGACAGTCACCACTTGTGCAAGTTCTCCCACTTAAAATGATGAGAGAGGCCTGCAATTGACATCATAGGTTGACCTCAACTATGTGATACAAAATGTGAAAAAAATGTGAGAAAATAATTTTGTCGGACTTTCAAAGATGTTATTTGCAAATAATGATGGAAAATAAGTATTTGGTCAATAACAAAAGTACATCACAAAACTTTAGCGTATATCCTTTGTTGGCACTGACAGAGGTCAAACGTTTTCTGTGAGTCTTTGCAAGGTTGGTACACACTGTTGCTGGCCTGTTGGCCCATTCCTCCATGCAGATTTCCTCTAGAGCAGTGATGTTTTGGGGCTGTCGGCGAGCAATACGGACTTTCAGCTCCCCCTAAAGGTTTTCGGTGGGGTTGAGATGGGAGACTGGCTAGGCCACTCCAGGACTTAGAAATGTTTCTTAAGAAGCCACTCCTTTGTTGCCATGGCAGTGTGCTTGGGATCATTGTCATGCTGAAAGACGCAGCCACGTTTCATCTCCATTGCCTTTGCTGATGGAAGGAGGTTTGAACCCAAAATCTCACGATGCATGGCCCTATTTATTCTTCCAGGTACACGGACCAGCCGTCCTAGTCCCTTTGCAGAAAAACAGCCCAAAAACATAATGTTGCCACCCCCATGCTTCACAGTTGGTATGGCGTTCTTTGGATGAAACTCTGCACTCACTTCCCTCCAAACACGACGAATTGTGTTTTTACTAAATAGTCCTACTTTGGTTCTATCTGACCATATGAAATTCTCCCAATACTCTTCTGGAACATCCAACTGTTCTCTAGCAAACTTCAAACGTGCCTGGATATGGATTAGCTTAAGCTGGGAGACACGTCTGGCACTGCAAGATCTCAATCCCTGGCGTCGTACGTAGTGTGATGCTGATGGTAGCATTTGTAACGTTGGTCCCAGCTTTCTGTAGGTCATTCATTAGATCCTTCTTGTGGTTCTGGGATTTTTCATCGCCGTCCTTGTGATCGTTTTGACCACACGGGCTGAGATCTCGCGTGGAGACCCAGATCGAGGGAGATTAGTAGTGGTCTTGTAGGTCTTCCATTTTCTGATTATTTCTCTCACAGTAGATTTCTTCACACCAAGTTGCTTGCCTCTATCAGATTCAGTCTTCCCAGCCTGGTGCAGGTAAATAATTTGATTTCTGGTGTCCTCAAACAGGTCTCTCGTCTTCACCATACAGGAGTTTCGAGTGTGACCGTTTGAGGTTGTGGGCAGGTATCTTTTATACTGTTAACGACTTCAAAGAGGTTCCATTAATAAAGGTAATGAATGGGGGAAAGTGAAGTCTCTAATAAAAAGAAGTTACAGGTCTGAGACAACCAGACATCTTGATTGTTTGTAGGTGACCAAATACTTATTTTCTGCCATCATTTGCAAATAACATCTTTAAAAGTCCGACAAATTGATTTTCTACATTTTTTCACATTTTGTCTCTCATAGTTGAGGTCTACCTACAATGTCAATTACAGGCCTCTCTCATCATTTTAAGTGGGAGAACTTGCACAATTGGTGACTGACTAAATGCTTATTTCCCCACTGTATGAAATTTTCATTAAAATCTGGGCATATGAAAGAAATTAAATGTTATATTATAGTGTCAAAATTTCATACCGCTATATTATATTCCCGCTTATTGCTTGTGGTTGGGAATAGAAATGTATCTCCTTATTACCTTTTTATCGGCAGGTTCTTTCGACAATTATGGGCTGCAAAGGGAATTGTCTAGAAGGGCAAGGAGGTCGTTTCGCCGTTCAGTTGATATTGAACCAACTTTTTTGATCACCTCCAGTCCCAACCAAATAAATCCCGTGGTACGGTATCACATTATGTTAATTACTATATACTTTCAAACAAATTAATTAACTTTTAAATTTATGAAAACATGACGAAGTTTTCCCACTTTATATCTATATAATTAACGCAGAAACTAAAGAAATGTTTACATGGACTTTTTGCGTAGTGGCATCAACCACATGCAATACTAAGTTACTTGCAACCACTGATCAAATGTCGACTTCTCAGGTATTGAAACTATCCGAGGGTGGGCTGCGCAAAGTGACACTGAATTATGGTGGCCCAGTTTACATCCTTGTACATGGCTGGAAGTCATCTGGCAGCTTGTCTAGCAGTTCGTCTAGCAGCTCGTCTATCAGTTCGTCTAGCAGCTCGTCTAGCAGCTTGTCTAGCAGTTCGTCTAGCAACTCGCCTAGCAGCTCGTCTAGCAGTTCGTCTAGCAGCTCGTCTAACAGTTCGTCTGGCAGTTCGTCTGGCAACTCTTCCCTCAGTTCTGCGACCTCTTCTCCTGTATCGAGCTGGACAAGGGTATATCTGATATACAAGGCTTAAATTAAAATCAGCAAGTCTAAAACCGCAGGTTTAAGTTACGCAGTGCTCGTCTTGTGGGACACGCTACACGAGTCAAACATTTCATTATTTTTTATTAGATCATAAATATTGACCCTTATTGAAGAAGCCTGAAACATTAGTTATTCTTCCTCTCGATTATCGCTCCGAGCCTCATCTGAGATATAGATTAAGTCAATTAAAAATGAAAATGCAGAGGCTAACCTGATCAAATGGAGTTTCAAATTTTCATTGGCGGATGCAATGATATTTAGTTTGATATGATGATATCATGATGATGATATGATGTTTGATATGATGATATGAAATGATATTTAGTTTTAACATATCATCAGGTGTTGGCAGGCGAGCTGTTAAGGACTAATGTTACAGCTAACGTTGTAGAGATGGACTGGACAGTCGGCGCCAGTTGAGAAAGACTTGGGAATGGCTGAGCCCATCGGGCACCTCGACTTCTACCCCAACGGCGGGGGATCACAACCAGGGTGCTCGGGTGAGTTGCATATCATGTATTTTACTACGTTTTTCTTGACTTCGTTTCGTGTGTGTCTGTCATCAAAAATTCAAACCTTAATTTAGAGTACTTCTAAACATCCTACTAAGTTGAAATTTGGAATGTATGCTTATGCTGCCTAACAATTCAAGATTTGATCCTCAGAAATAATAATTTAAATTAAAAAAAAAATTGTAAAAAATAAAAAAAAAACACTGAAAACTTCACGGTTTGGAATTGAGTTTTTTCTCAAACATCCACACTTGCCAACCCTGAAAATTGATTTGAATTGCTAAAATTGCTAACTAAAAAGTAGAAAATAAATATATATAAAAAATATTTTTAAAACAACGTTTTTCTGGTTTTTACAAAACTAAAAATAGTGAAATAAAACAAATAAAAAACTTTCAAAAAACACGTTTTCTTAACGGACAAAATAGAAAAACATTTACTCTAACATAACATTACATAACATTTTACATGACTTAAATGTTATGTAGGAGTAAATGTTTTTCTTTTTTGTCCGTTAAGAAAATGTGGTTTTTGAAAGTTTTTTATCTGTTTTATTAAAAATAATTTTGCAACCGTCAACTGCTTTTTCTTCTCTTGCAGTATGTAGATTGGGGAAGAGTATGTCAACTCTTTCCCTTCTATTCTCTATCCACTTATTACCAACTATACGTTCTCCATGCATTCATCCTTTCATCCATGTAAAACAGAATGTTGACTACATCTTCTTCCTCTTAAATTAGCACCATGTTTTACTCTCCACTCCCACTTGAATATCGTGTTATGATCACAGTAGAGAGCTCGTAGGCAATTTAAGTATTTTACCTTCTTATTTTACAGATTTTACCTTCTTTACCTTACCGTCTTCCCATGATTTTTATTGATGTATGTTGCAGTGTGTATCATCAGCTTTATTTTGAGCACATATGATGAGCATTGTATGTAGGCTGCCCGAGATGAAAAAATTTTGGAATAAAAAATGAATTACAATTGAAAATCATTATTATAGTTAGAAACTAATTTAGAACGACTACTAATTGTTCACTCTGTACTAAAACAGACCATAAATGTTCCCACTCGAGGGCGCATCAACTCTTCATCGAATCAGTGAGGGTAGGCTGCTTTTTCCCTGTCGCTCACTGTAACTCTACGAGCAGCTTCAGCGAGGTGAGATATTTGAAGAAGGGGATGGTTTGGGTGGTGGTAGGGTTTTGACTAAGAATTTTTCTACAGCAACCTTCCCTCTTCTCTAATGATTTAATGGTCACGTCTAGTGGGGTTGTAGTAAAGACGATGAAGCTCAGATAGTTTATTGGTGTTGAAGAACGAAGACGCCGACCGACCAACACCTGTATCAGTGTGGGCCGTTAGAATGTACGTGACCAGAATACAATGAAATAACAATATAAAAATACATAAAATACAAATGATTCAATTATGACAGTTACAGTAAATTGAAAAGTTTATGGCATGAAAATAATTGAATTGTAGTGAAGAACTTAGCGTCTTACCCCCTTAATTAGATGTTCACCCCAGGCGTCGTTCAGAAAAAATGACTCTATAGCTAGTGCGCGCTTGGCAAATGGTTCTCTGCTGTCGTTCTTAAGAAATTTCACAATATTTTTTATGGTAAGATTCAACATAAAATATTTTTGACATTTACTAAACTTCATCATTTAGTAATTACACGAGTGTTATTCGTGCTCAAAATTGATGATTAACTAACTGTACACTTTTACAATGGTTTGAAATGAAATTGATGAAATCCGAAATACATAATCAAGATCATGATAATTAAGTAAGATGTCGTTACAGAGGTCGATAATCACGAGTTTAAAGGTTTAATACAATTAATTATGACATTCGAGAGAAATGCTAGTGCGAGATGTGATCGAGTCACTACATATTCGCGTCTAAATCTGGAAAGCATGTGTGAGAGATGGCACTACATGTAGCACCTAGGGAAGGTGGGAAAATGTGGCATTGAGAGGCCAGAACGTGACAGTAGTTCTGTAGTAACAATTCCCGATAGTACCGTTGCTGATATATCAGCTACCAAACTATCTTTTCCATCGGCAACCCAATCAATGCAAATTCAAACAATGGTCAAGGTTGAATTTGGGTTGGTTGAGATGAGGGGAAGGGGTAGCACCCCTGATAGGCTTGCAAGAAGAAGTGATGAGTTAGCGCTTGAATAATTACGTGCATTGGGAGTTAAAATTCGACGACCGAAAAATGTTGATAAATGTATCGTAAAATGCTTGTATGCTTTAATAATAATAATAATGCTTCAATAATGCTTGTAAAATCGAAGCGTACGATTAAATTATATTTTCGAGATTGAAACATAAATTAAAAATTAAAATGAAAAAATGTAAAAAATTATATTTTCACACAATGTGGGATTTTTATTTGAAGGTCAAAGTTGAAAATATACCAGTGACTGAAATGTATATGGTGACTGAATATACAAGTGATATATACCAGCAAAGGTCTTAATTGGGACTACATGGAAGATTCATATTTTAACTTCCTTTCGGACACCAGTGATCCGTTAGGCGTGAATGTACATAGCTGAATCATGTAGGTGCGCTATTTGGTTTCCAGTACAATAACTTCTGCTTCTGTGTTTGGGCAATATGATGAATTGACAATGAATTTAAATGAAAACAAAACTCCAAGTAAATTTACCATGCATTCGTGGAAACTTTCGGAGCCTTGCTTCATCCTAAGTTCAGAAAACATCGTTTCACACGTAAAAAGTATGAGGTTTATTGGTAATATTTAATTTAAAAAATTCATCCCACAGATTCACTCGACTTTTTAATGTACGAATGACAATGTTCAGAAAACATATAGAGTACGCGTAAAATCATTTCAGTAAATCGAAATCTTAACGCAGGTGCTTAAAATCAAAGTAAAGATAAAACGATAACAGAACATAGAAACATTGATTCACAATTTCAAAAAGAAAAGAACTCCTCACAAAGTGGGAGTAGTAAGTGCCAACTGTCAAGTATTTGGTCGTATTTTTTATTGGGCACATCTGGTTATCGTTCGTATTATTTATAGATTGATAATTAATCATATTATTTAATTTCTTCTTTCAACCTCACATTGCTAACTATCTTGAAGGACTAAAAATCGAGAAAGATTGTCAATAACAACTCTTGGTACAATGAGTGTCAATTTTCAGGATTGTTGGATCTGCAATACCAGATTCAGTGCAATATGCACAAGAATGGGGTTCTGGGCTCAACACATGAACATGCCCCCAAAGTCGAAGATTTTTGTCGAAACCAAGTTTTCTCCGCCATATTGTGGTAAGTGTAAGAATATTGACATTTCTGCTCAAGAGTTGCTGTGAGGGAAGTTCATTCTTATTTAGGCTTCAGATATTTTGCGCTCTTCGTTCTGTTGTTACCGGTAAAGGTTCAGTGCCGTGCGTATCTGCGCCGGTTGCTCTTTATTCTGCTTGAGGCAAGTGCTTCCAAAGTTATGAACTAAGTCTTGATCAAACGACGACGGTTCTAAGAAGGTTAAGAGGTGTTCAGATGATATACATAGAACTGTTAACATAACATAACATAGTGATGTCGGCGCTAAAGAGTAGGCCTGATGTGGCCTGTCGCCGATTCTTGAACTTTTCGTGACTCGTTCACGGAAGATCTAAAATCGTGTCATTTGACCGGATCTTTTCAAGATTGACGATAGTTTGAAATAGCTACTAGACTTCCACCGGGTTCGATATGGTGCTAAGCATTTCAAGTCTGAATATATATTTTTCCATAGCTTTATCTAGTCTGTTCTATCTCTCACCAAAGATTGCCATGATTGTCTCTCACCAAAGATTGTCATGATTGTCTCTCACCAAAGATTGTCATGATTGTCTCTCACCAAAGATTGCCATGATTGTCTCTCACCAAAGATTGTCATGATTGCCTCAAACCAAAGATTGTCATGTTTTTGTCTCACCAAAGATACAAAAAATAAAACAGCGAAAAGAAAACATGATTATGCAAAATGATCTTACTAAAACTTTGCACAAGCACGATTTTAGCACATATCACTGAAAGTTCATTCAAACGCTTTTGGCAACATCGATCTGTTTGATTTTTGGTGGAGAGATGAAGAAAAACATAGGGAACAAATCCTGACCTATCAATTTTTTTAAACTCTATTACTGTTCGAGTTACAGCCATACAAAGTTGAATATCGTTTTTTTGGACACACTGTATATCGAATCAAACCGCAGTCAAAATCGGTGTAATGTTCACATTACGAAACTTCTATACTTATTAAGCATTTTTCCGTAGCCTTTACTCTGAACTGAACCATCGTTCGTTATGGATAAATGAAGTTTCTTTCAGCAGCTGTTTACCCGAATATAGCAGCATGTTCAAATAAAATTGTTGATTGAACCATCTAATCATCACGGTGGTAGCATTAACTCCTCCCATTTGATGAAATTAATATGTGTAATACTTCAATTAAATGTTTTAAAATTTCTCGACTGCCATGTACTCTCCGATGTAGAGGCTTGGCTTCGCGTGGGGGACAGCGGAGTTCGAATCCTGCAGACAGGGACTTTCTTCAAACCGATTTCTCACGAGATATGTACGTGTATGGTACTCTGATAATTTGTTCCAGCTACATGTCTCACATTGTTACTTGTACTGCCATTTTAGATTTGCATACGTAGCCCTTAGAATGGTGATTGAGTGAAGCAATATCAGTAAATGCACAAGCATCGAAATTGAAATTGTAGGAAAAATTTTTATTGACTTCATTTTAAAGGTGGCCATCGGCGGCTCATTGATGCGCCACCGGTGCTAATGTGTAGTTATTAGCGGAAGAAGAGCTTTACGGGTAAGGAGGTCATCGGCAGGTTTTAGGTGTTGGATAGGTGGTGCACGCCACCCTTATTTCACTGTATAAATCATAGTTGCTCCACCTATGGCGTCCGCCGATAGTCATCATAAAAACATAGTTGCTCCACTCCTAATTTTTATTTAATATGTATCATCTAGCGGGATAGAACATATACGGTGGCTTTGCAAGAAATATACAACTAATAAGACATTGTGCGCTTGGCTTAAAAGAGCATTTATCGATGGTGATAAAGACTTTGAGGAAAGTTTGTTTCAAACAATTTTAACGAAAATAACATTCTGCGAGGTCATCAGAGTGGCATCACTTTAGGTTAGGTTTGGTTAGGTTAAGTTAGGTTAGGTTCGGTAAACATGGTGATTGTTAGCAGGCGCCACAAGGCTCGAAGGTCGTATGATGGTGAGGGCTGCAGCTCAAAGGACCGTTGTTAGGAGCTATAGTGCGTGGTATACTCGTGAAGGCAATGACAGTCATTGCGCATCGCTGCTCTGGTGGTCTGCTACATGGGTATTCACATTTAGCTCTATTTTAGCACTGAGAGGTGTGCGGTAGTTCATCTTTGTGTGGGATATATTGATTTGTGTTTCATACTTGACAATGAGAACAGTGATTAGCAATATGAGCCATCTGATGGCTAGAGAACCTATAATATTTTTTTTCTCACTAGTTATCTTTACTAAGGCCTCGGCAATACCAAGCGGCTCAGGAGACACAAATCAAATCCTCTCTGATGACTTCTCATTAGGTACAAAGAATCAAACATCGACGAATAACAACAGTTCCTATCAGCACAACGTTTCAGGTACATTCATAATTCATATAGGATATGGTCATAATTTCTTGAAATGTATCCCCTCTGATGTGTAGCTTTCAGGTTTGTGAGCTAAAATAACAAGCTGACATGGATAGATCATCGGTGTACATTTATTTTAGAATTTATACCCACGATCTAGTCTCAACATTCGTCCAGGAATGAAATGAGATAATTCATTTGTGTAATTATTTATATTACTGAGTATTTGCGGCGCTACCAATTTTCTTGATTGACAATTATCATTTAGAAAAAAAAGCTCATGAGTAATTAAGGAAAAGATTTTATTTTAAAATCATTTAATGGTGAATCTATATCTCACTCTAAATGAGGGTTTAACTTAACGGCCAATATATGAAGTTAGATAAATGTTTATTTTAGTAGAAGAACTTATCATAGGTTGACCTCAACTATGTGATACAAAATGTGAAAAAAATGTGAGAAAATAATTTTGTCGGACTTTCAAAGATGTTATTTGCAAATAATGGTGGAAATAGGTATTTGGTCAATAAATAAAGTGCATCACAAAACTTTATCGTATATGTTTTCTTGGCACTGACAGAGGTCAAACGTTTTCTGTAAGTCTTTGCAAGGTTGGTACACACTGTTGCTGGCCTGTGGGCCCATTCCTCCATGCAGATTTCCTCTAGAGCAGTGATGTTTTGGGGCTGTCGGCGAGCAATACGGACTTTCAACTCCCCCAAAAGGTTTTCGGTGGGGTTGAGATGGGAGACTGGCTAGGCCACTCCAGGACTTAGAAATGTTTCTAAGAAGCCACTCCTTTGTTGCCATGGCAGTGTGCTTGGGATTTTGGCAGGTTCGAGGCCTTGAGTCTAGAGTTATGTGCGTGATTGAAGGACTTGGTAACGCTTCTCTACTTGAAGGGTAATTGGCAGTGGAAGAGTTTGTAGTGACTAGATAATATTATAGTGTACTGTATAACCTCCAAGCTGAGAGATATTATAATTTCTTTGAGATTAATAGTTGTAAAGCTGTACCTTGTCGCATAGTTAATGTCGTAAATACGACGATGCTCGTGAACGTTGGCCGACAACTTCACAAATAACTAAGTTAAAATAATCATCACTATAAGCCAGTTAAATATGGCCAGTACATGTTTATAAATGTTTCGATGATTGTTTATTAAACTTAATCCCGGTAATAATGAATAATAATTTTCTGTACACCATATAAAAGAGTAAACTAAAACTTTCACACAACTTCTGGCAACACTAGCGACCGAGCTCCCGAGCCGTTGTAGGTTCTATTCGAAATAAAACGCGCTGCCGTTCGGTGTTCGTGTTTCCAAAGATACTCTAGGCTAACTTGCAAATTACCACTGGGTCTCACTCGGATTTCTTACATGAAGAGAATGTACCTCACGTTGTTCACCAAGTTGCAAAGTGTGGCTGAATTTGAATAATAAACCGGAAAAACTAGACTTCTTCATATCCACCAACCTTCTGAATTCCTCCCGTTACCCTGACACGCCGTAACCTATATTGTTATCAAATTACCGATTACCCATCATTCCCCTCAGTTTCCCCTCAAGTTCAGGTAGTTTATTGGTGATATTGATGTAAGATTACATACGAAGTTTAGGCCTGTGAACAAAGGTTAGACATTAGAACATGACATGGGTAAAATATTTCATCGACATCAGGATATCATCCGCAGAATTTACAATGAGTTCCTAATGGCTTCCACCGACACATCTCTGGATTAAGTTAATTACACATAATTTAAATTCAAGTGAAAATTTTATGTTTAATTCATATCTAGTCTGACCAACTCATCTTTCCATTTTATCAAGACATTAATTAGGGGATTAATCTTAAAATACAACTTAGTCCTTTTGATCGTTAACATTTCAATCAGTAACCTGAAATTTCATTCCATTTACATTTTCTTAGGTTTCCCCCAATTAAATTAATGTAATTGAATATCTCGTTGAACAATACCAAGAAATATATTGACTCTTCAATATTATTGAACCTAACTGTATCAAAATCAACAATCAAATCATAATATACGTAAACAACTATAATTGAATACTCAATAATCCTCAATGGTTAATTTATCACTGTCATTCATAAGCAATCACTATTACATACCGTAATCAAAATCGACATAGGTTAAAATTAGAATTTTAATACACAATGAATTAACACAGATATGAATGAATTTGGGTTATAAATATGTCATGAAGTTATTTTATTCACATCTTTAAAAATGAAACTCTACGCTGTTCACATTTCAGCGCATAATCCGATAAAGATATTCAACGGTTATATAATTATTTATGCCTACATCAAATGGCTTATAGGGTTTAAGAATTAACTACCTTAACCAAGTTGGGAATTAATATCCCATTTGAATATTAATTAATTATGAATCCACTTATGAGAATCATTTTGAAAAGATTCATCAATAAGTAACCACTTGGAATTTAATTAACAAAACTACTCAACTTGGGAATTAATACCTACTCAATTTGAAGGTTAACAACAATAATCACTTATAAACATCATTTTGAACAGAATTAACTACCGGATCAATCTAGGCTGAGATCTCGCGTGGAGACCCAGATCGAGGGAGATTAGTAGTGGTCTCGTAGGTCTTCCATTTTCTGATTATTTCTCTCACAGTAGATTTCTTCACACCAAGCTGCTTGCCTCTATCAGATTCAGTCTTCCCAGCCTGGTGCAGGTAAATAATTTGGTTTCTGGTGTCCTCCGACAGCATTTTCGTCTTCATCATACAGGAGTTTTGAGTGTGACCGTTTGAGGTTGTGGGCAGGTATCTTTTATACTGTTAACGACTTCAAAGAGGTTCCATCAATAAAGGTAATGAATGGAGGAAAGTGAAGTCTCTAATAAAAAGAAGTTCAGCTCTGAGACAGCCAGACATCTTGATTGTTTGTAAGTGACCAAATACTTATTTTCCACCATCATTTGCAAATAACATCTTTAAAAGTCCGACAAATTGATTTTCCAATTTTTTCACATTTTGTCTCGCATAGTTGAAATCTACCTATGATGTCAATTACAAGCCTCTCTCATCATTTTATGTGGGAGAACTTGAACAATTGGTGACTGACTAAATGCTTATTTCCCTACTGTATGACATTTTCATTAAAATCTGGGCATATGAAAGAAATTATATGTTATATTTTAATATCAAAATTTCATACCGTTATATCATATTCCCTCTTGTTGCTTGTTGTTGGGAATAGAAATGTATCTCCTAATTAACTTTTTTATCGGCAGGTTCTTTCGACAATAATGGACTGCAAACGGAATTGTCTAGAAGGGCAAGCAGGCTGTTTCGCCGTTTAGTTGATCCTATTGAACCAACTTTTTTGATCACCTCCAGTCCCAACCAAATAAATCCCGTGGTACAGTATATCAAATTATGCTAATTACTATATACTTTCAAACTAATTAATGAATTTTTAAAATTTATCAAAACATGACGAAATTTTCCACATTAAATCTATATAATTAATGCAGAAGCAACTAAAGAATTTGTTTATGGAATTTTTGCGTAGTAGCATCAACCGCATGCAATACTAAGTTACTTGTAATCACTGATCAAATGTCGACTTCTCAGGTATTGAAACTATCCGAGGGTGGGCTGCGCAAAGTGACACTGAATTATGGTGGCCCAGTTTACATCCTTGTTATTACATTATTTGATAGTACATTAAATAATAGAACTTCATGATAATATGAAGATATGGTTTCTAATATTAAATTAATCCACTGTAATTCGTACTAAAATAGCAATACTAGAATGTGATGCATTCATTTACGATTGTAAATATAATAGGTTAGATCCACAACCAGCTATGCCTCGAAAAAAATTTAATGAGCTTTATCAAAAATACGTTTTAATCAATTAATCACTACGCACATATTGCAATATCAGTTAACTTGAATCAAGAATTGCTTATTTGCAGGATAACAGGTCTAGACCCAGCAGGACCTGGGTACGCAAAAGAGAATAGTTCAGGACGACTGGACTACAGCGACGCACATTTTGTGGATGTCATCCACACCGACACGTACGGGTTAGGGCGTAAGTGCAGATAATAATCCCACTAAGTTCAATGTTTTTTGGCCGATGACTTAATTATTGTTATTTATAGTTTCACACGTAAAAATTATGAGGTTTACTGGTGATATTTAGTTAAAAAAAATTCGTCGCACAGATTCACTCGATTTTTTAATGTACGAATACCAACTGATAACGGGAAATAATGATGAATTTGAGTTGCGAAATGTACTCAAAAATATTACATGTAAGTTGATGCATGATATTCTTCATATCTATTTGCGCTGATTACATGATCTCGTGACCTGCATCTAGATTGTTATCGAAGTTATTATGCTTATTTATTCTATTTGAGAAAGACTTGGGACTGGCTGAGCCCATCGGGCACCTCGACTTCTACCCCAACGGCGGGGAATCACAACCAGGGTGCTCGGGTCAGTTGCATATCATGTATTTTACCACGTTTTTCTTGACTTCGTTTCGTGTGTGTCTGTCATAAAAAATTCAAACCTTAATTTAGAGCACTTCTAAACATCCTACTAAGTTGAAATTTGGCATGCATGCTTATGCTGCCTAACAATTCAAGATTTAATCCTCAGAAATAATAATTTAAATTTTTTTGAAAAAAAATTTGTAAAAAATAAAAAAAACACTAAAACTTCACGGTTTGGAATTGAGTTTTTTCTCAAACATCCACACTTGCCAACCCTGGAAATTGATTTAAATTGCTAACTAAAAAGTAGGAAATAAATAAATATAAAAAATATTTTTAATACAACGTTTTTCTGGTTTTTACAAAACTAAAAATAGTGAAATAAAACAAATAAAAAAACTTTCAAAAACCACGTTTTCTTAACGGACAAAATAGAAAAACATTTACTCTTACATAACATTACATAACATTTTACATGACTTAAATGTTATGTAGGAGTAAATGTTTTTCTTTTTTGTCCGTTAAGAAAATGTGGTTTTTGAAAGTTTTTTATCTTTTTTATTAAAAATAATTTTGCAACCGTCAACTGCTTTTTCTTCTCTTGCAGTATGTAGATTGGGGAAGAGTATGTCAACTCTTTCCCTTCTATTCTCTATCCACTTATTACCAACTATACGTTCTCCATGCATTCATCCTTTCATCCATGTAAAACAGAATGTTGACTACATCTTCTTCCTCTTAAATTAGCACCATGTTTTACTCTCCACTCCCACTTGAATATCGTGTTATGATCACAGTAGAGAGCTCGTAGGCAATTTAAGTATTTTACCTTCTTATTTTACAGATTTTACCTTCTTTACCTTACCGTCTTCCCATGATTTTTATTGATGTATGTTGCAGTGTGTATTATCAGCTTTCTCTTGAGCGCATATGATGAGCATTGTATGTAGGCTGCCCGAGATGAAAAAATTTTGGAATAAAAAATGAATTACAATTGAAAATCATTATTATAGTTAGAAACTAATTTAGAACGACTACTAATTGTTCACTCTGTACTAAAACAGACCATAAATTCATGGGCCTATGTCTTCAACGCCGACACTTCTATTCTATTCTATTCTATTCTAATAATAAAAATGATAGTTATTAGGTTGTCATGAAGATATTTTTCGACAGATTTTAATTGAAAAAGTTTCCGAGACCATCTTAATATCAATACATGTATTATTAAATTCCTTTTTCGAACATAAATCCTGGAAACGTTTTCAATGAAGAATAATGAATTTATTTTATTTTTTGGCTTTAAAATTCTTGGTTATATACTTGCGATGTCAGCATACTATTAACAGAATATAACTAAATTATCTACACTTGCTATTATTCTCCGGGTATCCTCGAATTTTGTGCCGTATAAAAGCCACCATGTACAAATTTCCCAGTGTATTTTGCAGCATACAATGAAAACAAACGACAAGAACGTATCGAAATGACTGTACAATCAAGTGCGTCTTAATGCGTCTCGCGCGTGCAGGTAGCATAGCTACACATCACCAGGACGATGCTGCAACCATTGACTTTCCGCATATCTCTCATATTACTGTTGGGAAGCAACATTTTTGGTAAGAACTCCTAGGAGTATAACTGATAGAAACGTCGACTGCAAGTTCGTTTATCTTATCAACTGCTATATAAATAACACTCATAGGAGCGAAACTCAGACACCGCAATGAACACTAGAGTACATCTTTAGCAATGTAGCCACAAGGGCGCCAGCCTACAAATTAATCAACGATCAATATTTGTCACATCTATAGATTAATACGTACAATATGTAAGTTATTACTGAACAAACCCTGGAAGTAGAGGTGGGTAGTAGCGCGCTAGATGTAGCGGCCGCTACATTTTCAGTAGTGGTAGCGGTAGCAGCGCTACATTTAAGGCAATGTAGCGGTAGCGCCTGCTGCATATTAAAGTAGCGATACGAGGTTTTGCCGCTACAGCGCTACCGCTACATTTATAGATAAAGCCTTTAGATATTACCTAATAGTATTAAATATTATTTAAAAACCAGCATGTTTCAAACATAATATAACTTACAGAATAAAACTGTACGAAAGATTTCGGTGTAATGTTGTCAACCTCAGCCTGTTACTAGTGTCAACATGTTAGTTGTTACTTGTTGTTACCAGTTACCATGCACTTACAGGTATTTTTTCGTGTTTCAGTCAGGGATGCTGGGTGATTCTCATCTCTTGGAGAAGATTCATCGGCCCAGTCTATTTCTGGATGGTTAAAGTCACCAACGATCAACGTATGCGACCCGCTGAAGGTCATGCTCGGTAAAAGGCTGTATAGTACTTTATTGTTATCCGAGGAGCTGTTAGGTTATCTATATGACCCCTATGAGGAGGCTATCCTTGCCTTTAACTTGCGGATGGGAAAATACTGTCTAGCTAATATTTTCCTCGTGTATAAGTTTTCAGCCGGCGAAACTGACTTGAAGAAGAGTACTCGCCAATAACACTATCGACTTAAACTTTCCCCGTGCATAAGTACCTAATATAGTCTGTGTGTATCCATGGTTGAACTAGTATAAGTTTGACCCATGAGAAACTCATTTTTGCGGATGTAGTTTGTTGTTCCACTGATCTCAGTGACGTCACGGGCATTAACCAATCACCGATATGCGATCAAACCAGTCAATCAGTCATGGGAATGACGACGTTGAAACAGCTACCTATTACGACGTTGAGATCGCGGTGAAAAGAGGTTTAGAATGAAAATTGAAGTAACGTCTCATGAAACGCCGTAATGACGTTACAATTCAATGTTGAATCAATGTCACTACTACGACATTGCTGCAACTTCAAATTCTCCAGTTGAATCAACGTTGAAGAACCAACCTGTTTTTCGTCCGTAGCAGTATTCGAATAGGGGATCGCTGTAGACCGCGCGACGCCTTAGCTACCTTGACCACTGCAGCTCGCGTGCATGAGCAATAGAAATAAGCTAAAGAATTGTTTGACTACTTGAAAATTGAAATGCATTCTCTGGTCATTAATCGTTCACTTATATATATATATATATATTTCATTCAATGTTGGTGTGAAAACATTAGTTCCTTGCTGGTATATAGCTAAACATTCAACGTACCGATATCGACCATTTTTCAACGTTGAAATAAGGTTATTTTACGTCCGTTCTAGCTTTGGTCAGATTTCGACGTTGATCGGACGTTTAAAAATGAATAAATGAATAAACATTCAATGTACCAATATCGACGTTGTTTCAACTTTGAAATAAGGTTATTTTACGACCCTTCTGGTGTTGGTCAGATTTCGACGTTGATATGACGTTTAATTTTGGTTGTTCAACATTTCAACCCGAAATCAACCAGTAATCAACGTTGTTTCAACGTCAGATGCCTGCTGGGCATGCAGGGAGCATACATCATATCCCCGCTTTCAAATTACACGGCTTCGCAGCGGCATTACTGAGTGCACCGCCCGTGCTTTAACACGGACTATACTGCGCTCCTTCGGTTCTAGTAGGGTTATACGTTGAGAATTTATCAAGATTTCTTTAATAGCTCGTTATTTGTTTTTTGTGCCATCTGTTCAATAAATAATAGTTTATTAAGCTTTAATTTCTCCTTCGTTGAGGAGCAGTAACGGTAATGGGCTATTAAGACCGCTAAGAGATCGGATCAATTGGAGTCGTCCTTGCATTAACCTTACACTGCGCCACCTGAAGAAAGGTTCCTGCTAAACTACATTCATAGCCTTAACTGAGTCAGGAATATTGAAAAAACGCAAGGCGTTGAATGCTACTAGTTTCGGAACACATCCTTCACACTCAACCAAATTAGCTTGCGAAGAGAAGGTACTGCAGCCGGCGTAGAAAAATTAGAGTGATAAATAGGCTACGCTGTATAGCAGATAGCAACAATTGGCGGGTGACTCGAAGTTGTAATTCGATACGCGCCGGGTTGCATTTAGTGCTAAGTTGGTAACGAAAGGTCGCTGGTAGCGCTGGTTGTCAGGAACTGCAACACCACTTCGAAAGTAATACCACGAAGATTGCACAACCATGACCGCTATCGTGATCTTCAGTAATGAATGAGGAATAGGAAATATAAAAAATGATGAATAAAAGACTTATAATGAGGAATGGGAGACTTAAAATTC